GCACTTTTTGAGTGTTCACCAAGTCAGATGACAAGATCAAGAGCGAGTCACTGCTGCCCCTGGGTCTCAAATGACAGTCATGACTCCTGTCTGGGATGGCTGGATGATGCCCTGTGGGGCACTGAGTTCATGGCTCCAGGAAGGAAGAATGAGGTTGTGCCCCCTTTCCTCTTGTGGAAGGTAGAAAACTCAGCCTCTGCATTTGTGGTGGTACCCTTCAGGGCTTCCGTTTAAGGACAGCCAGGGCCTTCCACTGTGTTTTCATCCACACCACAGGGTGTCCTTCTTCTTAAGTGGCCCAGAGTCCCCATGCCATTGCCTCTGTGGCCACAGTGCTGACCTTCCCCAACTTGCCTGGCTACCCTTCTGTCCTCTGTGGGGTATTTTAGATTTTGTAAAGAACTTTCACTTTCTATGCATCATCTCCAGTACACAGATGAAGAAAGTGAGGCTCACCAGCATCCCAGTGTCTCTGATGGAGTGGGAACCAGAATACCAATTTGTAGAGTTGATAGTTCTGAGACTTGAGCAACTCTATAAGCCAAGGTCACAGAGGTGATTCAGCACTGTGACACCTCCCATTGAAGAAGCCACTGAGCTTGAACCCTGGGAATCTTGAGGTCACCTCCTGGGTGAACTGCACGGTGAGATACTGCCTCTGGAAGGCTGATGCTCTCAGTAGTGCCCCAGGTCACTTTTGGTGGAGACCATTGTGTTTGTCACTCAGCACTCAGCCTGCTTTTCACTAATTCCCCAGTCTTTCCTGCAAGAACCCCTTTCCTTCACTTGTAGATGCACGTTTTACCTGGTAACACAAACATAGCCATTCCCTTGGCCACAGCAATTGGTGGAGGCGTAAGCAAACAACCCACTCAGAAGCACTGAGACTCCTTTCAAGACTGTTCAGAGACAAGTACTCTCTTTCAGTGCTTAAACCTGGGATGATGGGAGCTTAAAGGGTGTAACAATTTTGTCACCATGAGGAACCCAAGAGACAGAGAGTGTCTGGAGTCTCTATTTATGTATGATGATGTGCTGTGCTTATTTCCCACAATGCCTTTGTGCCTGTAAATCTGCGGCCTGTTCCTCATGTACAAAGTGAAGGGAGGGCCAATGAGCTCTAAAAATTGACCCCAACTCTAGTGTTCTGTCCATTTACCCATTCTCAGGAAAATACAGAGAACTGCCTTTCAGAGGAAACACAGCCTGTGATTAGAGGGCTTGTGCATTTGTGCAAAACCTGAGGTTTTAGGAAAATGTTTGTTACTAACAGGGACATTCACGCCTCCTCTCCATTTTACAGTGAGCCGTGATTCCAGAAACGTCTCAATTTAGGAGAAAATAAGGAGGGACCCATAAGAATAAGTGTCTCGTGGTTTCTGGGGGTTTCTTGGGGGCATTTTCTTCTTTGTTCCAGGCCTCACATGGTAAGCACCATCTGAACCAGCAAAAGCAAGTGTGTTTCAGGAAACACTTCTACTTGTATCAAGGTTCCAGGAAAATTGCATTTGGAAGCTCTAAGATTGGCCACGAGTAATTTGTTTTTTAAATAGCTCTGTTAGTTGGTCCACGTTGTGTTTTTCATTCCACCAGAGCCAAAGGTGGCATTTCTTTTGTTTATAGTATTAGTGTTATATTATTGGTGATCTCATTGTTCTTGTTTGTGACATGTTTACCTCAGTGGGAAAGTTATTGTAGGAGGCATGTCGGGAGCCAATCTACCCACCGAACCTGCAGAACTAAAGAAAAAGACTCCAATCCGTCCTGCAGGGTGCATATTACTCCTCTTTTGGATTGTTAAATTCTAATTATAGGCTGTTGGTTCCTGTTAGAACCATTTATAAGCCTAAATGCTGTTCTGCAGGTCTTTTGCCAATAGGTGTGTTTCGTTCTTATTGTTGTGTAAAACATAACATTTGCGCATTTGGAGGAGTAGAGCGGGTGGTGTTCTAACCTGTGGATGGAAAACAGGCTGTGACTCAAAACTAGGATAGAGAGAAAAAAATTCCACTTCACTGTATTGTTCATTTATTAGAATTTCTGAAACCCCAGGACTGTGCAGTTCCTCTTTCCGATCTCGGTTCCGAAATGGCACCTCCTTCAAGGAAGCTGTCCTAGACTGCCCATCCAAGATCTGGGGTCAGCAATACCCCTGCCTTCCCTGCACTGGTCCCAATGAGTCATTTCCCAGGGCTGGAGGGACAATTGTGTCTGTCCACCACTGGATGGAAGGGTTCCGTTGGGCTCATCCATGGCTAGCATGATTCTCTAACACCCAGTAGGCATTTAGGGAGTGTGAATGTTGTATTATTTGACAGTCATCAGTCATGCTATGGAAGGCAAGATACATGGGATGGGATAAATTCTAGGAAGTGTGAGGCATCATAGCAAGCAAGTGGACAGAATGCAAAGCATAAGCCAGATGGTGGGATGCGTTAGGGAGAGCATGAGTACCAAGCAGCTTGTGAGCCATGGGCAGAATTCACACAGATGATGGATGAGGAACCCAGCAGCCTACAAGACATGTCAAATATGGAGAGAATGAAAGAGATACACTGGTGATCTACAGATAAAACGTCTCCCCTAAGACTCACAGCTCTTTACCCTCTAAATCAACTGCTCATCGATGACACCCACTGTGGGCCTAAATGTGTTCTGCCCAAGAAGCACAGATAAGCCCACAGCTGTTCAGTGGCCAGTGGATGGACTCCTGCTGTGGCCAAGGGAACGGGGTCCACAGCTTTCAGTAGCAAAGTGTGCGTCATTAACTCAAGCACCTTTCTCGGTTGGGTACCTTCATTCACCCTCCGTTATGGTCCTGGTAACTACATCATTAAGGGGGAAAGTTAATATGGAAAGAGAGAGGGACAGTGACAAAGAGAGAGGTGAACATGACATATTATATACCCAAAATCCGGGGCCATCTCTTTCCTCGTGCCCCTAGCTGTATTTTAAATTTATTCAATAGTGAGTGCAATTTAAGCATCTAATCTTGATCTGTGAGCCTTTGTATTCTATCACCTCTAAAATACCACACCAGGTACCGAGGAGGTTAATCAGCTGTACAAGGTATTGCAATAGTCCATTGTGAATTTTCTGTGATGACTGCTGATTGGGGTGAGGGTTAGGTTACAGTAGTTTCTGAATTTAGCTTCCAAAACAAAAACTCATTCAGCAATTATCCATTGTGTTGGGGCTGAGGATACAATGATGAGAGAACAGCCATGATCTCTGCCCTCATACAGCTTATAGCACAGAAAGACAAGTGGATAATCACACAAGTAGATGCAAAGTTTTAACAATGGTAAGTCCTATGAAAAGGCATAAGTATCCCTGGCAGAGGGGATGGACTGTGCAAAGGCCACATGAGGGTACCATGTCACCAACCATTTGTTTGGCAGGCAGTCGTGGTCCTGTGCCTGGTCCCACACTGGATTCAGGCAAGTGTTTGAAAAAAGACTAGCCCTGACTTGAACACAGGAAGATTGTTAGCTCTGGAGTGAGGGGTGGGGGCAGTCCTTGGAGAATCTTTAGAGAACTCAGAGCTCCTTCCTTCTTCCTCATTCTCCCAGGTGCAGGCTGCCACCACACCCCAAGGTTCATTTGTGAGTTCATCCCTCCAAGGATCAAAACTGACCTCCTGGGGGCTGGGTCTGTGGTTCAGTGGTAGAACACTTGCCTAGCATGCATGAAGCCCTGAATTTGATCCCCAACAGCACACAAAAAAAATTGATTTCATAGTAACTTCTCTGGCTCCCTTCTCCTTGAGTTATCTGAAAACCTTCAATATTCCAACCCAAACCCAGTTTTCAAGCCTTCATTAGTTAACATCTTACTGAATTCCAGCTTTAGGAGAAATAAGAAAGATGCCATTCCTTGGCCTTTGCTGAACTCTGCCTGAATTATTTCTTATCTTTATAACCACCATGAGAGTTAGCACTAAACTGATGCTCAGAGTCAGAGGGAAATAAGATGACCAAGTGATTTAGCAAGTGTCAAAATAAAAAATTCAATCCGGGTCATTCTGGCCCTAGAGCCAGTGAAAACTAAGAGGCTTAACCAGGAATTTGAGTGAAAATGAAGATTCAATTGATTGGAAGGATGAATGTTTTCTTGATGCTTAGGAGTGTGGATTTTGTGGGTGTATCTTGATACTGTGGTTTTGTTAATATCCTTGTCTTTGCTAATTCATACTGAAAATGCTGGTGGATTGAATACTGTGATGTCTAAATTTGGTTTCCCTTACTCTGTGTGGATGGGAAGGTAGTGTGTGTGTGTTCGGAGGCAGAATGAGGGTGGGAGCAGGATGGGACAGACTGGCCATGAGTGGTTCCTTACTAGGAGACTAGGGGTGAGTAGATGGGGGCTCATTATGATGGCATCTCCTCTTTTGTACACATTTGAAATTTTCCATAAAATGTTTTTGCAAAACAAGTTCTGGGTTGAGTCCTAGGGTCCACTTCATCTCCACATCACAGAGAAGTTCACGATTGTATTTTTTCCCCCAAGAAGCAGAAGTTGTGTGGTGCTACTCCAACAATCTCCATCATCAAAGGTACAATCGAGCCCCTATCGCAGGATTAAGCGGGCAGAAAAGCACTCCATGTCTTCTACAGCCATGGGCCTCCGCGCCAAAACCCAGGATCACAGCCACTCCGCAGGGCCCGGCCACTTGGCATCCCACCCGAGCCCCGGACTTACTAACTCTGTGACTGTGAGCAAACGAATGCGCTCTCAGTCCTTCAGTGCCCAATCTGTCCAAATGAGTGGAGAGAGGGCTTGGTGGGACGGTCCTGGGAGAGTCAGCCGGCATGGTGCAGAAGCTGGAATTCAGGACCCTGCAGGGTCCCCGCTGCTCGATGGGTGTTGAGCGTTGTCGCGGGAGTCTTCCTCCGGATTCTGGGGTGGACTAGCAGCCTCTCTCCCCAGCGTCTGCCAGAAGGGTTTTCCAAGGAGCCGCTTCCCACGCAGACATAGACAGATGGCCTAAGGGGACTCACGTGCAGCAGCCCAGAAGGTTGTGGCTCAGCCGCTGTTCCAGTTCATAAAATGCCGTCCTGAGGCCTGCGGATGGACAGAGGGTATGTTCGCGGTGGGGGTGGGACAACCTTTTTTTAACATCCAGGTGTGTGCAGTTCTCCTTCACCTCTAACTTGGTTGGAAGGTTTTTTTGTCTGTTTGTTTGTTTGCGGGGGAGTGTTTGTCTTCCTTTTCTCAGCCTCAGAGCGCTCTGGCCCGGGGTTGCAGCCGGGCACAGGGCAGGGATCATCAGATGACTATAGTGAGGGAGGGTCAGGCCAGCTGCTGGAGGACCGGCGAGGCTCGGGGCACCAGGGCGGCCCGGCCGGTCACAGAAGGCCGTGAGCGACCTTTAGGGTCTCCAGGGACGAGGCTGGGCTAGGCAGCCAGAGCCGGGAGTGTGACCCGGTCGGGTGGGCAAGGGCGGCCGGCGGGCGGAGCCGAGAGCCCCAAAGGCGAGGTGTGCGTGCGGCATGCCGCCGCCAGGGGGCGCCGAGCCCAGCGCAGCTCTGAGGACCTAGCTGCTAGGGGTGGCGGCTGGGGAGTGAAGGGTGCGCGGGGGGCTGCGGACTAGGCCTGGAGGGGTCCGCCCACCCCAATGTTGGCGGGACCTGCGCAGGGGCGCCCTCAGTTCAGCCGCCGGGGTGAGGTGGGGTGCGACGACCAGGATTAGTGCAGTGTGAGGCCCCTGGGGGTTGACCTGGGTATTGAAAGAGACTGGGACAGGGCTGGGTGCAGGGCCTAGTACCCAACAGGCGTTCATTAAATGTTTGCTGAGGATCACGGGAACAGCGCTAGGAGCAATCGTCTCGGGAGCCCCAAGTTCAAGTTCACTCTTTCGAATCTCGGTGCTGATGGCTTCTTAGTACTGTGTCCAGAGCCCCTGGCAGCTTCCGTTTAGGGAAGCGGGGGTGGGGGGTGAGATCTCCTGCGCTGCTGGGTCGTCCAGTGGGGTCCAGTGGGGTCCAGAGGTGTCTCCACTCCGCGCCCCTCACCGCCCTGGGACCTAACAGGCATCCCCCCACCGCGACTTCTAACTGGTTCCTGGCCGCTGAGCAGAGCTCCAGACAAGAGAAAGGAGAGGGGATTCTGAGTGATCTAAGAGGGTCGAGGAGACCAGAGAAAGGGATTCAGCCAATGGGTGTAAACACACTCTGGCTTCGTGGAAATGAGCGCCCCCGCCGGCGATTCCCGCCAGCCTGTTTGAGCTTCTGTTAGTGCCCACGAAGGGAAGAGGAAACCGCAGTTGAGAGAGTGAGTGAGAACCGATCAAAACTTTGCGCTTTCTATTGTTAACACAGTTTACTGGCTCCGAGTTTGACCTCTGAAGGAAGACTTGATTTAAGTTCATGCTCTTCCACTTACCCAGCTGCGTGATCTTGGGGAAGGTGCCTAACTTCTCTGAGCCTGTTACCTGTTTTGTAAAATAAAGCTTTAAAAACTTAAACTACTTCTGTCTAGGCATTGTGAGATGTAGTGGGATTCTGAGTGCCATAACCCTTAACCCTGTGTTCCATGATCCTGGCACAAGAGCAGTTGGCAGCTGTTGGGCCCAGTGTTCCCTTAGCTGCCCTATTCAGATGCATCTTTCGCTTCCCAGACAGAGAAAGTGCGGGAAGTCCATCTCCACGCTGGCAGATCGTCCAGCGGGCGGCCCTCAGACCTAAGTGCATTGATTCTACTTTCCCCTCCTGAAAACTGCAGACTGAGACAAGCCGCGGGCACCTACCCTACAGGATGACTCCTGGGGACTTTTTAGCCAATGAAGGCAAGCATTGGAAGGGTGGTGAGAAGAGCGACCTTGACTGGCACATTAAGGACATTATATCAATGAATCCTCACAAGACCTATGAAAAAACCAAACAAGGAACTTGATGCACAGAAAGGCCTAACAGCTCACTCAAAGTCACAAAGCCTGGTGGCTAAAGGGCAGCCTAACCTGGCTTGAAGCCCGCGCTGCTCCCCAGCGCAGGGTGGTCTAAACACCTACCTCTCCATCAAGCCCAGTCCCAAAGCAAGGGACAAACCATCCAGTAGGTCTGGGACAGGCCACACCTGTCCTGAGGTCGAAGCATCTAATAACTCATAGGTTAAAAAAAAAACTCTCCCCGCGAGCACCTCGGCTATGCCAGTGTCAGAGCAAGCTAGGCCGGGGATCCTGGGCTCCGCCCCCTGCCGCGCCCTCCGCGGTTCTTGCCCAGTCTTTCTGAACACAAGTCAAGTTTGCCCTCATCTATCAGGCGCCCTTGGACTGGGTCACCAGGGGCCTAGGCATCTCTCCATCTCCGGGTGCAGGATCGGCCAGTCCTCCACTTGTTTCCTTCTTTGGAAGTTCAAGTGCCAACGAAAGATGCCTGCGAGCTGACGTGCATTAAAGCACTCCCAGCTCCAAAGGAGTCCCTCTGTGCGCAAGCCTCCCGCGTTCCCCTGGCCTGTGGTAGCGATCTCCCTGCAGCCCCCACATCTACAGCCTGCTCCCTGATAGACGTCAGCGGGGACTTGGGTGGCGGCGGAGTCAAGAAGGGGCGCCACCCACGGTGGGGAGTTAGGGTCCTGCTTCAAGCCCCGAGGACCCGGGGTCCTATCTGGAGAGGAGTTGGCTTGAGAAGCGGGGAGGGTGAGCTTTGGGCACGGCCACCAGGACAGCTTCGCTAGCAGGGATGTGACCAGGAATGGAGAAAAGGTTTCACTCGCGAGGCGGAGGAGGAGACCTGCAGTGGAGCGGGACAATATCTGCACGGGATACCAGGGGGCAGTGCTGCGCAGCGAATGCCGCCGCGCTCCAGGGCTGCACGGTCACCAGATCCCCTCCGTTTCCCAACAACGCTGCAGAGTTCCTCCCTGGGCGCTCCTGACCCCAAGAGCCTCCAGACCCTATAACGCGCTCAAGGGACCACGGCTCCCTCCCCCGCGCGCGGGCTCAGTGCGCGCGTCCCGGTTGTTTTTCCTGGGTAAAGGCAGCTCCCACCGGGTTGAGTTCAACCTCAGACTGGGCTCTAGAGAAGCGTAAGCCAGGCTGGCGGGGTGCCCCGTCAAATTTTTGTAGGCCGTGCGCTCACGGGTAGGGTGATACCAAGGGTGGCGTTAGAGGGGATTTTCTCAGCCTGGGCTAGAGAAAATGCAGACGCAGACTTTGAGAGTAAAAGTGCACGAGGCGGCCGCCGGCAAGCAGTCGCTTTCCGGCTGTACGTAGACCTCTGTCCCAGGAAAGGTCTGCTAGACCGTGGAGGCCCATCCTCCGTCAGGTGGGAGCCATCCCAGAAGGACATGTGGACGGGAGATGACCTTCTGCCGGGGACCCAGCCCCAGGCCCACTCCAGTCCTGGCATCGGTGTTGTCTGGGAAATGCCTTTCTAATCCAAAGGAGGCTGAGTCCAGGTTTAAACCCGCAGAAGCAGTGGGCAGACGCGACCCGGTGATGCGCGCGGGGCTTTCCCACCCTAGGGCCTGTGACTTCCACTCCTTTTCCCGCCCCCAAGAGAGGAAGCCATGTCCTCCCGTCCTTGGGACCAAATGTTAGCCCAGGGATCTTGGGGCAATAGAAACCAGACAGGATTCTCTTTGGGCTTGGCCTCTTTTTTCCGGGATTTTTGGTTTTCTTCCCCCCACCCCCCATAGTAACCCCTTTGCAATAAATAAAATAAAAAGGCAGCTGCATGTCCCTGTGTGAATGCTGGTGGCTGTTTGTTCTTTGAAGAATTCGCACTTTAAAATTACTTTCTGTGAGCACAGAGGAAGAACTTATAAACCACCGTTATGTAATTTGAAACCATCAATAGCCCCTCTTTACGGCTGTCTTTATTGTGGGAAGTCAGGGTAATGATTTTGTCGCTGTCTAATTTCATCCCAATGTACAGCGTCGCTTTTATAGCCTTTCAAAGGTAAGTGAAAGGCGTCAATCTGGGGCCCTTTTTGTGGCCGATTAACAGTTTAAACTGGTTTTCTAACCCTGTCACAACTATTGCGCTGATAAACAGGATTTCTGCGGAGACATTAGCAAGTCTGTAAATTGATCATTTTTAAAAACTCGGGCAATTTTGAGCTCCTCAGGCAAAAATAAAACACAGGTCCATAGGGTTGTGTGTGTGTTTCTCACCAACAAGAAGAGGTATTTACGGATGACTTCTTAAGAGCTGTTTGTGTCCTGGTCGTTATCATTAAGACTATTATTGTCAAAATCTTAGGAGAGAATGAAGGAGCTGACGACACGGAGATGAAAATCAATACGTCCGTGGGCACTGCATTGACTCTGCCTTTTTGTAGAAAATGTCTTCCCATTAATCATTGGCAAAGCCTGGCACTGCTGCCTTCTTTGCCACAGAACCATCCAAATTGAAACATCCAGTTTCACGGCGAGGGAGACAGGAGAAAATATTTTGTATGGACCCTGCTGCGGACGAAACCACGCAAATGAAGGCAAACTAGACGCAGCCATGGGGAAAGCCATCCCTCGCCTTTCATCCTCTCTGTGCCACTGAGAAATCGTTAATTTTTAAAAATAGAAGCCAAATGTGAAACTAGACAATTTGCGAGTTTTTTTTTTTTAATTAGGTGTAGGCCCCGGCCACTGGAAGTGTTTTCTTTTGACGCTGTCCCGTTGAACTCATGCAACAGAAACCTGTAACTCCCGGCCCGGGTTGCGCACGGAGGCCGACAGCCCCACTCCCCGGGTCACCCGAGGGTTACCTGTGGGTGCGGACGCGGTCTCTTTTCCTCCGACGGGAGGGGAAAGTTACAAGTAGCCAGATTACTGCTCGGAGGCCCATGCTGACCACCCCCGCCAGGTGCTGGGGAGGCGACTCCCCAAGGGGCTCCAGAACCACTGAGATGCTCCTGGGGCGCCGCGGATGGTGACGCTTTGGTGGACGTGTCTTTCTGCCTCTTCCAGTGAGGGTTGCTCACGATCCATAGAGGAAAGGGCGGGAAAGAAAGAGCTTCTGGGCTGGGGGCGGGGGGGTGGGGTGGGGGTTGGCTATTTCCCTCGAGGCCAGAGGGTGGGCCAAACGCCTAGGTGAGGTTCCCGGGCGGACGGAACCCCAGCTAAGACAGGGTCTCCGTCGGCGCACCTCCACCAGTTCCGGGTTCGGTTCTCAAGTCCCACGTGCGGGTCGGTACCCGGGATGTCAAGGCACGGCCGCTCGGGGCCCAGGGGAGAGGGCAGAAGGGGGTTGGAAGGGACAATTTCCAAGGGAAGGGGAGGACCGCGGGGACAGGAGGATGCCTCCGCCATCGCCAAGAAGCAGAACCCCGAGCGGGACCCGCGCCCTCACTCGCGTCCCCTGCCCGGCCCAGCCCGCAGCGCTCAGAGAGGCTTGGGGTAGCGCGGTCTGTGTCCTCCCCTCGTGCAAACGCCGCCGCCGCTGAAACTTGCCCACCCCATCCAGTCCGGAAAGCCACCTGCCCAGGGCTGCGACAGCCACGGATCAGTCCCTCGGGTGCGGATCCCCGGCCGCGCAGGCGGAGGGAGGCAGGCGG